CTGAAATGCCCCAACTGGAGAAAGTGACTTAGTACCATTAATAAGACTTGGAGGTCCCCAGTGTCCCCTTACCCAAAAGGATTGAAAGAGCAAGAGCAGGTTGGGAGCCTAGGTGACCTTAAGTGGGGCAGGGTCCCTAGGCTAGGCCTCTGCCACCTGGCATCCAGGGCAGGGGACCCCCAGCATATGGGGGGCAGCAGAGCTGGCTGCCCTTTATCCCAAGGGATAAATAAAGCCTCTGGGTAGGTGACGTTTGCCTGTGTCACCCATTTGGCCTTCTCTGGATCTCCAACTTGGAGAACCAACGAAGAAAGGTACTGACTTGGATTTTGTGCATAACTCAAGCCTCATGCTCAACACTTTCATACCACTGGTAAGGAGTGACGGGCAGCCAGCTCTCCCAGACGCTGCCAACAGCAAGGCGAGGGAAGGAAGCACGTCTGAGCTGTGACTAGAGGAGCTCGTGAAAGCAAGAAGGATCTGCTTTGCAGCTGGCTTTGCACAGTGTCCCCACATGAAGGGATTTGGCTAAATCTGTGGCTTTCAAACTGCTCCCTAAAAATGCCTCTGGGAGAGGGAACCCTGTCTGATCTGAAGTTGAGCTTTCTATGCTTAGGCCACCTTATGGGATATTTGGTTTGAAGGGAGGGGGCAAACACCTGAACCCCTGGTCCGCTTCCAAGGTTTCTTGGAGCTGTGCCTTTTGGGGTGTGGCAGAGGATGAGTGGTTCCCTGGGCAGTGGTCCTAGAGCTGGGTGCCGCCTTAGGTCTCCCCAGAAGCCAGGGGCATTTCAGCCCCTCGTACCACACTGGCCTCTTACTTTGAGACAATTTCTTTAACTGTGATGGTCGTGCCATTGACAATGGGTGCAAGGCAGCTCACTTCTGCAGGGATTGCAGAAGTGGCCTCCATTGTTTCCATTGTGTAAAACGGGCTTTCCTATTTTTCAATGTCTCACCCTGTGTGTTAAGCGGCCCCCATGGTGGTGACCTTGGGCATTCCTGATGAGACTTTGTTAGAGTATTGCCTGGATCTTGTAGCAGTCAGATCTGGGCTGATGCCCTGCCTCTGATACTTAGCAGCTGTGAGATGTCTGAGACGGTTCCTCCACCTGCAAAAAGGGGATGTCTGTACCTTGGCAGTAAATGGTGCCTCATTTAATCCTAAATGCCCAGTATTCCTGGCAAATTATAAGTTTTGGCCATTGCTCCCTAAAACAGGCCCATGATTCTAGGCTACTCCAGATTTATAAAATGCTGTATGTCTCAACTCTTGGAGACCTAGGAGCTAACTCTCCCTTTAAACTCAAGCCTCTGGTTCCAATGGATGCTTTTGACACGGGTTATTACAGCAACTAGAAAAGTAGTTTGAGATGATGTTTGAAAGGATACTATGGACAATAGCAACGATTTAGTGATAAAAAGAAGCTCTTCTCTTTATAAGGCAGAATTTGAGATTACTTAAAAGCAGATGAAAGGATCATACACTGTTGTTTTCTGGCCTGACCTCCCAGCACTGGGATTGTCTTGTAACACACTTCTTTCCCTGCCCAGATGTGCTGGGTTCTGATGTGTTGCTGAGAGTAAAGCTACCTCCGGCTTGAAGCTTTACTGGACTAATCTAAAGCCTGAGATTGTCTTAAACCAACTTCTGTGCATAGAAGTGCTCCTTCTGGTAAATAGGCAGCCAATGAAGGAGTCTGGATGTCACCAAGGTCCCTTTGTGTGCATCAAGTGGGGGAGGTGGCCCACAGGACTAACAGAATAGTTGAGAGCTTTGTTAATGTTCAAACCATGCATCACTCTCTACCGTGCCACCTCTGAGATCGGGGAGGGGAACTGGTCAATTCCAGGAAGTAATTTGCATTTCCCAATCTCACATTTGCAGACTAGGAGTAGGCTACTCTTGCCCAAACTCTGGAGACCACCAAGGCTTTAAAGCAGGTAGAGACACCGTGATGAAGTCCAGAGAGATCATGTGGGCTGTTGGTTTGTCTCTGCCCCAGCAGCTAACATGCTTTCCTGCCACTCCTGTCTTGCTGTGGCTGACTGGTTGCTACTGTTAGTGGTGTCTCTGACACTATCATGCTGCTGTTCTGTCTCAAAGTTCCTTCTTTTTCCTGCTGGTTCTTCATTCTTCTGGGCCTTAACATGAGCCTTACCAAGACTCAATCCTTTTTCTGATCTTTCTCTTATGATGTCAGTCTTGGCTTTAAATTCACTTCTGGAATTCTGCAAGTTGTCTACACCTTCCCTTCCAAATTCATAGGTACCAAAATTATTTCAGCTATTATCTACTCAAGACTAGTCTATTGGCCTTCTTTATCTAGTTTTCTTTCTTTCTTTTTTTTTTTTTTTTTTGAGACAGAGTCTCGCTTTGTTGTCCAGGCTAGAGTGAGTGCCGTGGCGTCAGCCTAGCTCACAGCAACCTCACACTCCTGGGCTCCAGCGATCCTTCTGCCTCAGCCTCCCGAGTAGCTGGGACTACAGGCATGCGCCACCATGCCCGGCTAATTTTTTATATACATATCTGTTGGCCAATTAATTTATTTCTATTTATAGTAGAGACGGGGTCTCGCTCTTGCTCAGGCTGGTTTTGAACTCCTGACCTTGAGCAATCCGCCCACCTCGGCCTCCCAGAGAGCTAGGATTACAGGCGTGAGCCACCGCGCCCGGCCTGTTTTCTTTTTTTTTGAGACAGGGTCTTGCTCTGCTCCCCAGGCTAGAATGCAGTGGCATGATCATAGTTCACTGCAACCTCAAACACGTAGGCTCAAGTGATCCTCCCATCTTAGCCTCCAGAGTAGCTGAGACTATAAGTGTGTGCCACCACACCTGGCTAACTTTTTAATTTTTTTGTAGAGACTTGCCCTCAGTATGTTGCCCCATTCAAGATCAGTTCAAGCTGGTCTTGAACTCCTGGCCTCAGGTGATCCTCCAGCTTTGGCCTCCCAAAGTGCTGGGATTATAGGCTTGATACACTGTGCCTGGCCTAGTTTTCTCTTTTTTATAATGTGCTCTAGACCATCTTGCATGCTCAGAAACAGAGGGATGTTCATTGCACACCTATAAGAAACATTCCCTACTGCCTTGTAGAAAGTTCAAACTCAACCTGATTAGAATATTCTCCTTTGATTGTGGGCCAACTCCCTTTGCCACCTTATCACCCACCAACCTCCTTCAATAAATATTTGATCACCTACTGTATGCCATGCATTGTGATGGAGCTGAGCACTCATACCTGTAACTCATGGTCCCATTGTCACTGGGAGTAGGGCGAGGAAGATGGGCAAACAAGAAAATATCAGGTACTGTGGTACAGCTGAGAAGAAAATGAAACTGATTGGGAAGATACTGAGACTCTTAGAGAGGGAAGGCTTTCAGAGGTGGTGGTTGAGTGGAGACTGAATGAGTAGGAGCCACCTATGCAGAGACCCTGGGAGAAACAGCTTGTCCAAAGGCCTCAAGTAGGAATGAGCTTGAACTATTTGACAACAAGGCCAAGGGTCTAGAGCATGATGACCAAGGAAAGAGTTGTTAGAGATAAGGTGGGCTGAGGCCAGCTTACAAAGGCAGTGTAGGGGCCGGGCGCTGTGGCTCACGCCTGTAATCCTAGCTCTTGGGAGGCCGAGGCGGGCGGATTGCTCAAGGTCAGGAGTTCAATACCAGCCTGAGCAAGAGCGAGACCCCGTCTCTACTATAAATAGAAAGAAATTAATTGGCCAACTGATATATACATAAAAAATTAGCCGGGCATGGTGGCGCATGCCTGTAGTCCCAGCTACTCGGGAGGCTGAGGCAGAAGGATCGCTTGAGCCCAGGAGTTTGAGGTTGCTGTGAGCCAGGCTGACGCCACGGCACTCACTCTAGCCTGGACAACAAAGTGAGACTCTGTCTAAAAAAAAAAAAAACAAAGGCAGTGTAGGGAATCTGAATTTTCTTCTAAGCTGAGTGGGTAGCCAGGAGAGAGTTTGTTTTATCTTGTTTGTAAAGATAGTCTTGCTATGTTGCCTAGTCTGGTCTTGAATCCCTGGGCTCAAGTGATCCTTCCAAGTCACTGGGACTACAGGTGCATGCTACTGTTCCTGTGAGGAGAGTTTGTAAGCAGGGGAGTTATGTGATCAGATATTTTTCCTTTAAAAATCACCTGGCCTCTGCAGAGAACAGTTTGGAGTGAGGCAATGGGAAAAACAGGAAGCAGCTGTGGTAGCGTCAGCAAAAGATAAAGGTGGCCCAGACTGGGTGAGGGCAGCCTACCAAAGGATTTGAGTGAGTCTTGCTCGAGACTGTTCTGACCCGAAGTGCTGGTGTTGTCTCATGTCTGGGTTCTTCACCACTGCACGCAGATGCCCTGTACAGAACTCCTTGGACACTGCCATGCGAAAGGCTTGTATGCATGACTGCTGGCCTAACTAGTCCTTGAAGGCCCAGTCCAAGCCAAATGGCCTTTAAAATGTTCCTTTGGCTGGGTGCAGTAGCTCATGCCTGTAATCCTAGCACCCTGGGAGGCTGAGGCAGGAAGGTTGTTTGAGGTCAGGAGTTCAAGACCAGCCTGAGCAAGAGCAAGACCCTGTCTCTACTATAAATAGAAAAAATTAGCTGAGTAACTAGAAATAAAAAATTAGCCAAGCGTGGTGGTGCATACTTGCAGTCCGACCTACTCAGGAGGCTGAGGCAGAAGGATTGCTTGAGCCCAGGAGTTTGAGGTTGCTGTGAGCTAGGCTGACACCATGGCACTCTAGCCTGAGTGACAGTGCAAGACCTTGTCTAAAAAATAAGTTTCCTTTACTTCTACGCACAGGGCTAGTTCCCTTGGCACTCCTACAGTGCTCTTGGCCTGCTGAGCTGGTGTGGTGATTGATGCCTGTGGAAGCTGACTTCCTGGGTCTACTCTCGGCCCCACTGTGAGCCCTTTAAAGGCTTAGAGCCCGAAGATGCCTTTAACATAGTAACCCACATGATGGGCACTGAAAATATCTTTGTAAATGTCTAATTTGCAGGTAATTTACTTCCTCCAGTCAACATGCCTACCTTAGATGTTCCGGAAGAGAGGCTGAGAAAATTCAAATACCGAGGCAAAGATGCATCTGTGAGTATGAAGCTGCTGCCTCGCTCTGTCAGGGACCAGTGCTGTGTGCACTTGCTTGAAATGCATCAAAAATAGGGTGGAGGGGGGGTGGGGGAGTGGGGTGATAAAACAAATATAGCAGAACATTCCTTTAGGTAGGTGCATGGGTGTTCACTGAATCATTGTCTCAACTTTTCTGCATGTTTGATACTTTTGCCATAAAACATTAAGGGTGGGGAGAACAAAAACACGTGGACTTAAGAGCCACACAATTGTGGACTCAAAGTTTCAGTGGGATCTTGCAGCTACTTAATCTCAAAGCTCCAGTTTCTTCATCTATAAAACAAAGCTCTCATCCTCCAAGGGGCTGGCCTGCAGCCCCACGGCCCAGGTACATAGATGCTTAACTGCAGCTGCTCACATAAAGGAGCCTTGCCAAGGAGCTAAAATATCAGCACACAGATATGGCCAACAAGCGTGCCTTGCAGAAAGAGGACTTGGATCTGAGAAGCTGGGATGAGCACAGAGCTGGGAACAGGGAGTCTGTCCTGTATGTAGATTCTAAATATCATTCAGTTTCTCTGGTTGCATAATTTTCTGGCTCTAGCTCTGTGCCCTATATCTATGCACCTTGATGGACCTAGCATATAAGGTTGGCTATACCTTGGGAATCTACGGCAGTTTAGGATGAAAGAAGCACATAGTCACAGTAGCCTGGCTGGGACATCATCAAGAGCCAGATCACTCTTACCTATTCCAACAGGTGTGGCTGTCTGGCTTCCAAGACCACCACAGACTAAAGGAAACCAATTAGAACAAAGGAATTGAACCCTCTATGTGGACAGTAGCAAGCCAGGGACATCAGATAAGAAGGGAGAAACCAAAGGTATAAAACTCACCAAGGGGCCGGGCGCTGTGGCTCACGCCTGTAATCCTAGCTCTTGGGAGGCCGAGGCGGGCGGATTGCTCAAGGTCAGGAGTTCAAAACCAGCCTGAGCAAGAGCGAGACCCCGTCTCTACTATAAATAGAAATAAATTAATTGGCCAACTGATATATATATAAAAAATTAGTGGCGCATGCCTGTAGTCCCAGCTACCCGGGAGGCTGAGGCAGAAGGATCACTCGAGCCCAGGAGTTTGAGGTTGCTGTGAGCTAGGCTGATGCCACGGCACTCACTCTAGCCTGGGCAACAAAGCGAGACTCTGTCTCAAAAAAAAAAAAAAAAAAAAACTCACCAAGGGAAGGGCTGGCTTAGAGTTGGGCAGCCATACAACTGGTCAGCAGGCCTTGAAGGTCCCTACACTGCCATATAACACCATCATGACCCTTTTTTCAAGCAAGAAATAGCTTGTATAAGGAACCAGAAGTATCTAATCATGATTTCCTTCTAATTACTACTAAAAAGTCTTCAACTTAAACTCATCTATCCAGAAAATTTAGGTTTTTTTCTCTAGGATTCTCAATACTATAAAGTCTACAGGGCTGGGCGTGGTGGCTCATGCCTATAATCCTAGCACTCTGGGAGACCAAGGCAGGAGGATCACTTGATGCTAGGAGTTCGAGACCAGTCTGGACAACATAGTAAGACACTGTCTCTAAAAAAAAAACAAAAACAAAAAACAAAACAAACAAACAAAAAAACCAGGCTGGGTAGCACATGCCTGCTGTGGTCCAGCTACTCAGGAGGCTGAGGCAGGAGGATCACTTGAGCCTAGGAGTTGGAGGCTTCTGAAGCAAGATTTGTTAGGAAAAAAACAAAGAGTTGGAGGCTGCAGTGAGCTATGATGACACTAGTGTACTCTAGCCTGGGCAACATAGTAAGATCCCATCTCTAAAAGTCTGAGTTGTCAACTGAGAGATAAAGAGAGTTTTTTTAAAAAAATTTTTAAATCTCCCTCAGCCTGTTCTCCTAGTAAAATTTGGGGATCAATGCTTAAATGACCTACGGACTGATTCCACTAACAGTGGCAATGGTCAGGGCATTGGTGGTCCTTCAGTGGTCCCCAGCGCCACCTGTCTAGCCACCACTGTAAGGCCCAGGCCCATCTAGGAAACAGCGTACTCTCGGAGGGCTGATCAGCATCCATGGAGATGAGCTCAGACTCAGGGCGACAGGATGCTTTGCTAAGATGTCCTTACAGCCGAGAATCCTGGCCCATCAAGGTTGCGCCTGGCTTTCCTTTACTTTGGGAGGAAGATTGAATCAGTTTCTAGATGTGGTGCAGTCACAGCAGAGGAGGTAAGCAGAGCTGAGCTGACTGTGATCTGAACCTTTCCAGACTATCGCATCTGTAAAAATGAAACCAGATGCTTTGAAGCACATTCAAAAGACTAAACGTGGTGGCATCCCAGCTCCTGGCTCTAAATGCTCCAATTCTTTCTTTTCCTCTTTAGATGAGGCGGCAGCAGCGGATGGCGGTCAGCCTCGAGCTCCGGAAGGCCAGGAAAGATGAGCAGACTTTAAAGAGAAGAAATATCATCAATTCCTGCCCTTACCCACCTTCTGAAAAACCAGCCAAAGGGATGCCGGTCAGTATGTAATGTTTAGAGCAGTTGTGTGCAAAATACATCCCTAGCAGGTTTCTCTGCCTTGAAGATGTTTAATAGACTCAGAACTTGCAAACTCTGATTTTGGGTCTTTAAATAGAAAAGGGAAGAGAAGATCGTTCTTGCTAAACTGCCTTCATCAAAAGGCCAAGGGTCCTTACACTTGTGGCCATGAGTCAGTGGGATCTGTGCTCTAAGCAGGGGATGGAGAAGGTGCTACTTCTAATTGACAAATCGCCTGCTACCTCTAGGCCTGGGAACTCAGGAAATGAAGGTTTATGGTGGTGGTTTCTCAGTAGAGGCATCTAGCCCCTGGCCATGTGAAGTCTTTCCTAAGACTTCAAAGTGTCCCCTGTCTTCCCCTCTCCATATATCCCAGCCCTACTAAGTGCAAATCCTAGGTTGACTTCAAGGCCAATCCTGTCTCTATGAATCCTGCATGCCCTGACCAGGAAGTTTTCCTTCTTAGAACTTCAGCGATGTTGTATCTACATGTCTTTTAGAATACAGTGCTGTGTATGTCTTACCTTAACTATCCACGTTCATCCTTTCCACACATTAAACAGTCTCTGGCAAACGCTAGTCTTCTTTCTGTCTCTCTGGATTAATCTATCCTAGATATTTTATACAAATGGAATCATACACTATGTGACCTTTTATGTCTAGCTTCATTCACTCAGCCTGATGTCTTCAAGTTTCAACCATGTGGTAGCATGTATCTGTACTTCAATTCTGTCCAGCTGAATAATATTCCATTGTTTGGACAGACCACATTTTGTTGTCTAGTCACTAGATGGTGGATGTTTAGGTTGTTTCCACTTTTTGGCTGTTATGATTAATGCTGTTAACATTTGTATACAAGTTTTTGTGAGGACATGTTTTCAGTTCCATTGGGTCTACAACTAGGAGTAGAATTGCTGGGTTATATGCTAATTTTCTGTAACTCTTTGTAGTGGGCTGAAAAATGGCCCCCTAAATGTCTCTTAACCCTTCACACTCACTTGCTTTTTTCTTGATTCCTTTATTCTACTTGGGATTTAATTTTTTAAATACCCCAGATTTTACAAAGCGTGGCAGTAGAATAAAAAATAAATAAGTAAATAAAAAACTGGAGTTTCTTTTCATACAAACTTATTTATTTGGATTTTTTTATATTTCAAATTGATACATTCAAAGAGTAATTTTAATCTCTATTATTTTTCATGGTGTGATATTTTTTGAAACATTCACCCACATGAAGACCTAGTTTACATTCACATGTTTCGCAAATATAAATTGTCTCTCTTCTTCCTCCTTTGATTTTTCTGCTAGAACAAACAACACAATCTGTGTTTTCTGTTAGGGTGAGGTGTCATTATATGGAGCTTTCCATCTAAATGTTGCTGTAAGTTAATGGATAATAATCTACCCCTGGAAGTTAGTATACCATCTCTGCATTTATATTTTACTTGTCCTTTCATGCTAATGAAAACAAGAAAAGATACTGGAAAAATGGACAAAAATCCCCCTTTCCCCCGAGGTGAAACTACGTGTCGAGTGTGGCTCAACATACGAGCTGCTACCGGTGCTAACCATGTCAAGTCACACTCGACATCCAAGTACAAAGGGTTAATCCCCAGAACCAGGCCAGGTGCAGTGGCTCATGCCTGTAATCCTAGCACTCTGGGAGGCCGAGGCAGATGGATCGCTCAAGGTCAGGAATTCGAAACCAGCCTGAGCAAGAACGAGACCCCATCTCTACTATAAAATTTATTTTATTTTTTATTTTTTTTTGAGACAGAGTCTTGCTTTGTTGCCCAGGCTAGAGTGAGTGCCGTGGCGTCAGCCTAGCTCACATCAACCTCAAACTCCTGGGCTCAAGCAATCCCTCTGCCTCAGCCTCCTGAGTAGCTGGGACTACAGGCATGCGCCACCATGCCTGGCTAATTTTTCCTACATATATTAGTTGGCCAATTAATTTCTTTCTATTTATAGTAGAGACAGGGTCTCGCTCTTGCTCAGGCTGGTTTCGAACTCCTGACCTCGAACAATTTGCCCGTCTCAGCCTCCCAGAGTGCTAGGATTACAGGCGTGAGCCACCTTGCCCAGCCACTACTATAAAATTAATTGGCCAACTAAAAATATATAGGAAAAATTAGCTGGGCATGGTGGCACATGCCTGTAGTCCCAGCTACTCGGGAGGCTGAGGCAGAAGGATCGCTTGAGCCCAGAAATATGAAGTTGCTGTGAGCTAAGCTGACGCCACGGCACTCTAATCTGGGCAATAGAGTGAGACTCTGTCTCAAAAAAAAGAAAAAGAAAGAAAGAAAGAAACACGGAACCTGTGAATGTTACCTTATGATCAAGGAGACTTTTGAAGATGTGATTAAGTTAAGGATTTTGAGATGGGGAGGTTATCTTGGGTTAGCTGGATGGGCCTGACATGATCACAATGGTTCTTATAGGAAGGATGATGGAGGGATCAGAGAAGAAAGTGACGTGAAAGCAGAAGTTAGCATGATTAGCGTGATGTGCTTTGAAGATGGAGAAAGGGCCAGAAGCCAAGAAATATAGGTGACCCACTAGAAGCTGAAAAGGGCAAGAAAGTGATTCTCCTCTCAGATCCTATATAGCAACCAACTCTGTTAACACCTTGACTTTAGCCCAGTGAAACTGATTATGAACTCCTGACCCTCTGAAGGGTAAGAGAATAAGGTTTTTTGTTTGTTTTTGAGACAGGGTCTTGTTCTGTTGCCCGGGCTGGAGTGCAGTGGTGTCGTACCTCACTGCAGCCTTAAACTCCTGGGCTCAGGCGATCCTCCTGCCTCAGCCTCCTGAATAACTGGGACCACAGGTCTGCACCACCATGCCTGGCTAATTTTTTCTATTTTCAGTTGAGAATTTTTGTACCTGTAGTTAATAAGGAATATTGGTGCATACTTTTCTTATAATGTCTTTGGTTTGGTATCAAGGTAATACTGGCTTCAAAGAATGAATTGGAAAATTTCTTCCTCCTCTGTTTTGGAAGAGTTTGTGGAAGATTAGTGTTAATTTTTTTTTTTAATGTTTGAAAAACTCACCATTGAAGCCATCAGGGCCTAGATATCTCTTTGTAGGATGTTTTTGATTAATAATTAAATCTCTTGTTATAGGTCTATTCATATTTGTTTCTTCCTGAGTCACTTTTGGTGGTTGTGCATTTCTAGGAATTTTTCTATTTCATCTAGACCAGGGGTCCTCAAACTTTTTAAACAGGAGGCCAGTTTACTGTCCTTCAGACTGTTGGAGGGCCACACTATAGTTTAAAAAAAACTATGAACAATTTTCTATGCACACTGCACATATCTTATTTTGAAGTAAAAAAAACGAACGGGCAAAAGCACCCACATGTGGCCCGTGGGCCGTAGTTTGAGGATGCCTGATCTAGACCATGTAATTTGTATTTGTTGCATGCATTTGTTCACATTTCCTCTATCTTTTTTGTCTCACTCCATTGCCCTGAGTAGAGTGCCATGGCATCAGCCTAACTCACAGCAACCTCAAACTACTGGGCTCAAGGGATCCTCTTGGCTCAGCCTCCAGAGTAGCTGGGATTATAGGTGTGCGCCACAACACCCAGCTAATTCTTCTATTTTTTAGTAGAGGTGGGGTCTCACTCTTGCTCAGGCTGGTATCAAACTTCTGAGCTCAAGCAATCCTCTTGCCTTGGCCTCCCAGAGTGCTAGGGTTACAGGAGTGAGCCCCTGGGCCTAGCCCTGTCTGGTGATCTTTTTATGCAGATTTTTGTTTCACTTTTTTTCCCTTTATTTTTCCATTCTGTTTCTAGCCTTTATTATTTTTTTTTCTTATGCTTGCTTTGGGCTTAATTTGCCCTTTTTCTAGTTTTGAAAGGTGTAAATTTAGGTTATGCTTTGAAATCTATTTTTTATAACGTACATGTTTACAGCTATACATTTTCTGCTAAGCCCTGCATTAGCTGCATCCCATTAATTTTGGTATGTTGTGTTTTGGAAGAGTTTCATTCATTATAAAGTATTTTCTAATTTCCCTTGTGATTTATTCTTTGACCCATTGACCATCTAGGAGTGTGGTGTTTAATTTCTTCATGTTTGTGAATTTCCCAAATTGTCTTCTGCTGTTGGTTTCTAATTTCATTCCATTGCAGTTGGAGAACATATTTTTCATAATTTTAGTCCTCTTACATTTATATATGTTTTATGGGCCACAGACACTAGGAGAATATTCCATGTGTTCTTGAAAAGAATGTGTATTCTTCTGTTGTTTGATGTAGATGTCTATTTAGTCTGGTTGATGTGTAGTGTTGTTCAAGTCTTATTTCCTTTTTGATATTCTGTCTAGTTCTGTTCATTATTGAGTGTGGGGTTTGAGGTCTCCACCCATTACTGTTGAATTCTCTATTTAATTCTATCAGTTTTTGCTACATGTGTTTTGAGGTTCTGTTAGGTGCATACATATTTATAACTGCTGTATATTTTTGATGGATGGATTAACTTGTTTGTTGTTATAAATGTCCTTTATCTCTAGTAACAGCTTTTGTCTTAATGCTTATTTTTCTAATATTAGTATACCTACTCCAGCTCTATTTTGGTTACTATTTGCATGGCATTTTGTTTTCAGTCATTTTACTTGCAAACTATTTGTGTTTTTGAATCTGAAGTATATCTCTTGTGGATAGCTCATAGTTGTATCATTTTTTAAGCCTATTCTATCAATCTCTCCCTTTTATTGGTACTATTTAAGCCATTTACATTTAATGTAATTACTGATAGTTTATGTCTGCCATTTTGCTATTTGTTTTAGATATGTTTTCTAGTATTTCTTTCCCTCTATTTCTTTGTTATTTATGCTAAATGGATATTTTCTAGTTTAATATTTTAATCTCCTTGTTATGTTTTTTACCACTTAAAGTTTTTTCTTAGTATTTGCTCTGGGGACAATTAACATATCTTATAGCAATCTAGTTTGAAGTACTACCAACTAAATTTTAATAGTGTACAAAACTTTGCTCCTATAAAGCTTTATTCTTCCCCCTTTTATTCTTGTTGCTCTAAAAGTTACAGCTTTGTGTGATCCTCTTCATAGATTTATAATTATTGCTTTATGCAGTTGTCTTTTAAATCAGGATAAAGAATTACAATTTAAAAAACATTTATACTGTCTTTTATATTTACCTATATAGTTACCATCACTGGTGGTCTTTATTTCTTTATGGATTTGAGTAATTGTCTACTTTCTAGTACTTGAAGGACTCCCTTTACTATATCTTGTAGAGTAGGTTTGCTAATGATGGATTCTCTTAGTTTATCTGGGAATGTCTTAATATCTCCTTCATTTTATCATGATAAGTTACTAGATGTAAAATTCTTGGTTGACAGTCTTTTCTTCCCCCAAGGATTTTTAATAGTTCCCCCCCCCCTTTTTCATGATTTTAAGTATAGCATCCCACTGCTTTTTGACCTTGATGCTTTCTGATGAAAATAAGCTATTAATTTTATTGAAGCTTTGTCTGCTTCCTTTTTGCTGGTTTCAATGTTTTTGATTCTATGTTTTTGGCTTTCAACAGTTTATGATGCGTCTATGTATGGATTTCTTGGGATTTATCCTATTTGAAATTCATAGAGCTTCTCAGATGTATAGATTAATTCTTCCATTAAATTTGGGGATTTTGGGGGGCCATTATTCAAATATACTTTCTGCCCCTTTTTCCTTCTCCTTTCTTTCCTATGCATATGTTGATATGCTTAATGGTGTCCTACAAATCTCTAAAGATCTGTTAATTTTCATCTGTACTATTTTTTTTCTCATCATCTTCCTCAGACTGGATAAGGTCAATTGGACCAATCTTCAACTTCACTGATTCTTCATTCTGTCTGCTCAAATCTGCTGTCCAGCCCCTTTAGTGAATCGTTCATTTCAGTTATTATAATCTCCAATTCCAGAATTTCTATCTGGCTCCTTTTAATTTCTATCTTTTCATCAATAGTCTTCATTTGGTGAGACATTGTTCTGATACTTTCCTTTAGTTCTTTAGTCATGATTTCCTATAGTTCTTTGAACATATTTAAAGTCTTTGTCTAGTAAGTCCAACATGTGGGCCTCAGAGGCCATTTCTAATGATTCCTTTTTTCTTATGTATATATGTGTATGTCATACTTATTTCTTTACATATCTCATAATTTCTTCATTGAAAACTAGTCATTTAAAATAATATAATGTGACAACTCTGGATATCATATTCCCCCTGGCCCCTGAGTTTGTTGTTGCTGGGTGGTGGCATTTGTTTAGTGATTTCTGAACTAATTCTGTAAAATCTTTATTTTTTTTTGTCATGTGGCCACTAAGTCTCTGCACAGTTTGCATTGGTGGTAAGCTAATGATTGGACAGAGATTTATTTTTTTTTTTTTTTTTTTTTTTTTTTTTTTTTTTTTTTGCTACTGATCATCTTTTTGCTGTATTGTCTGGAAGACTTTTTCAACTTTATTGTCTGATCATCCTCAAACTCCTGGGCTCGAGTGATCCTTCTGCCTCAGCCTCCCAGGTAGCTGGGACTACAGGCATGCGCCACCATGCCCGGCTAATTTTTTATATATATATCAGTTGGCCAATTAATTTCTTTCTATTTATAGTAGAGACGGGGTCTCGCTCTTGCTCAGGCTGGTTTTGAACTCCTGACCTTGAGCAATCCGCCCGCCTCGGCCTCCCAAGAGCTAGGATTACAGGCGTGAGCCACAGCGCCCGGCCTAGAGATTTATTTTAACACCTGAAACAAAAAGGAATAAAACAGCCAATTTTTGCCAAGAAGCTTTATGTGTACGTCGGGGCATGCCTTCAACACTTAGCCAGGCAGTTGGCTTTAGTTTCTGTTTGCACAGAGCCTCAAGGTCAGGCAGAGGTAAGAGCTCAGGGTTTTCTCAGTTTTTTCGAGCATGTGCATGGCCCTATACATGCACATGGCCTATGTCAGAGCTTTCAAAGACCTAATTAACATCTCATTCCCTAGCTTTTCCCGTTAAATTTTTTGGTTTGCCTATTATTTGTCTTAACTGTTATCCAACCTCTCAGGTAGCTGTGATGTTAAATAACTTCCTCTAATTGTTTTCAACAAACATTCTTAGAGAAAAGACTTTTCACATTAAATGAGCTCTGAGTCAAATAACATAGAGAGTCTTACAAGTGGGGTCTTCGTCAACTAGCCAGGTCAACTAATAATTCTCTGGGAATGAAGCTTTAAAGGAGCACCTACTGATTCTTCCTCTTCTAGGCTGCTGGTTCTTCACAATGATTGTGGACTGTTGGTTTTCAAGACCACCATGGAGCTTAAGGGTGGATGGGAATAGGACAAGTCAAAATGCCACAAAACTCTTGCTATTCTTACTGAGATTCAACTGTTTTTCCTGAAACACTTCCTGGATTGACTAAAACAAATTGCTACAAAGCTTTAGTCAATTTCTATAGTTCTGAAAAAGTTAATTCTGACAATTTTTGGCAGTTTTCTCATTGATTTTATACAGGAGAGAATTTTTGGAGGTCCACATTCTGCCATTTTTTCTGATACCCTCAAGCATGTTCTCACGCATGCGATAAAAAAGAGGGGCTGGGGACCCTAGTGATATTAGGAATTATTTCTCCTCTAAGCATAAAGACTGTTCCACAGATCTGTGAGACTTATGGATCCCCAAATGTTCTTCCCTCCCCTAATCTGGAACAGCATGCAGGATGGGGCACTGTGTTCAAGCCAGCCTGTTTTAATCAGATGAAGGACTAGACTAGGTGATGTTTACAGTTCCTTTTGGCAGAGAATCTGACCTGAATGTGTCTCTCCTTGCAGGGAAGCCTCACTCTGGGTGAAATAATCAAAGGTGTGAATAGCTCAGATCCAGCCCTGTGTTTCCAGGCCACCCAGGCAGCCAGGTATCTCCAAACAGACTTCTGCTGTTTACAGTTTCCCTAGCTAGAAATGAGCTCCAATGGCCTATTTGGTTTCTTGGCGTTGGCAGAATGCCCATAAAATACAGGAAAAGGCTATTCCATCCAAAAGTGAAACTAAATTGCTATTCTACACTGTCCTTGAAGGCAATTTAAAAGATGCAATGTGTTGTCAGAGATGAATTGCTTAATTTGCATTGGCCTCCACAAGAATTTCAGCTTGTAGCTAATATCTAAGGGGGAAAATATTGCTTTATCAGTGCAAAATGCTATAGGCTGAACTCTGGGATATTAAGTAGCTCTGGTTTGTCTCATCTGGTAGTTAGGAATGCAAAGACCATCTATAAAGAAGGTTCTTAATATATCCCTCACATGATCTTTCCCCTCTTCTCTTTCATTGCATAGGAAAATGCTATCCCGGGAAAGGAACCCCCCTCTAAAATTGGTTGTTGAAGCCGGGCTCATTCCCAGGCTGGTGGAGTTTCTGAAGTCATCACTTTATCCCTGCTTGCAGTTCGAAGCAGCCTGGGCTCTGACCAACATTGCTTCGGGGACTTCAGAGCAGACCCGAGCCGTGGTGGAAGGGGGTGCTATCCGGCCCTTGGTTGAGCTCCTGTCTTCCTCCAGTGTGACTGTGTGTGAACAGGCAGTGTGGGCTCTTGGTAATATAGCTGGTGAGACTCTCCCCAAGGTGGGCTAAGAAACAATGGGCCAGGAGCACAGCGCACTGTGAGAGTTCTTTGGGTAGAATGGTGCACTCGATATTCTGGAAACTCTCCCAGTATAAATATCTAGAAGTGCTGGGAAAGGTACAACACTTATTTCAAAATCCAGAGCCAAGTTCAGAGGCCAAACATTGAAGCTGAAACCAGATGATCCAGGGCATCCTAAAGCTAAGGGCTACCTGGAGACATCTGCCAATACTGGGGTCCTACAGCCTCAGGGCTTTGTGGCTTCAGAAACAAAAGACAATTCTTTGGCTCATGAAGTGTGGGGGTTTATGACAGATATTTATATAACCCAGGGCCCTAAAAGGACTCAAAAGGGAACAAAAGTCTCCTTAGCTTGGGCTAAAAAGTGTTCCCTGAAGACACAAGACCCCCTTCATGGATTTGGGGCTTGATGCTGTATTTCTTGCATGGTCTGAGAAAGCACCAGCTAAAAAGTTAGTGCTATAGGGTTGGAAGCCCCCGGATTCTTGGCTGACATAAATCCTATGGCTCTCTTGGGGAAACTCAGTTGAGACTCTCAGGATTTTGATAAATTAAGATCAGCCAGATAAATATTAGCAATTTCAAGTTCAGAGAAGCAACAACCCGCCATGACTGAGTCAGCAGAAACAAAGCCCTCCAATGACTTCAGATATTGGAATTAGCAGACAGAATATAAAGTAAATGCTTTTAAAAATGCATGCAGAAGGAAAGCACCTATTACAGAGACGTTGTTTCTCATTTTGCTTGGTGCATTAAGGAACAGGCAAGACTGGGTGATACAATGTGACTTATGCCTTGCCTTGATGGTTGAACATGAACTGAGACATCCAGGGTCTAAAGTTGGTCTCTTAGCCAAAGTAGAACATGGCTGACTGCCAGCACCTATTGATCCCCAGGCTTTGTCTTGGGCCACATTGGAAAGTTACTGCTCTGTGCCAAAGTCTTATGGGAAGACAACTTGGTATGCACTAGCCTTTGTCTTCCTGAGAACCATGCTGTGTGAAATGCCACCAGTGTATGGAGTGGGCCACTAGGCTGAGTTGGCTGGCTCCTTCGTGTCCATAGCCTCTTATAGCAATTGCTGCTGTGGTACCTGTGTGTCATGTCAGGACTGCCCACCCAGCAGACACCTTGGAGACCCAGAATCTAGTACGTGGCTATACTATCTACTTGCCAAACCCACGAATGAGTTTCAGTCTCTTGCCCTTTGCACAGACTTTTTTTTTTTTTTTTTTTTGAGACAGAGTCTCGCTTTGTTGCCTAGGCTAGAGTGAGTGCCCTGGCGTTAGCCTAGCTCACAGCAACCTCAAACTCCTGGGCTCAAGCAATCCTTCTGCCTCAGCCTCCCAAGTAGCTGGGACTACAGGCATGCGCCACCATGCCCGGCTAATTTTTTCTATATATATTAGTTGGCCAATTAATTTCTTTCTATTTATAGTAGAGACGGGTCTCGCTCTTGCTCAGGCTGGTTTCGAACTCCTGACCTTGAGCAATCCGCCTGCCTCAGCCTCCCAGAGAGCTAGGATTACAGGCGTGAGCCACCATGCCCAGCCTGCACAGACTTTTTAAAAAATTAGACACTTCAGATTCTCTTTGTTCTCTTTGAATGTCATGTTCTGATCTATTTGTAGGTGACGGCCCAGAGTTCAGAGACATCGTTATCTCAAGCAATGCCATCCCACATCTGCTGGCCCTGATTTCGTCAACCACACCAGTGAGTATCTTCCAATGAGAAAACCCAGCTAGGTAAACAAATTCTCAAGGTCAAGAAATTGGGAGAAATACTTCCAAATCAATGCTAAGGTCATGTGGCTACTGCCTGGTCCCTGTGACAGCACTTGAAAACAAGGCTGAGGACAGAGTATCATTTTGGGTAAAGATTGACCCACATTTGTCCTTAAGGGCCAGTAGGCACTGATTTTTCTTTGTGGAAGCATTGTAAGAAGTCCATTAAAGTTTTTTACAGCTTACTGTCCTGCACGAGTACATGACAAAGACCTCCACTCAAGGAGTAAAGACAGATTTAAGGGCTTACCAGCTCTGTTCATGGTTGGTAGGGTCTAAGTTTGAGGCTTAGAGTCAAGGTCGATTGATGTGGCAACAATAGAGGACTCTCTAGTTTAGGAATCGGGTTCTAAATTGGCCTCAAAACTGAAGAGAAGCGAAGGGAATATGTGCAAAGCCCTCGAGGTGGGAAAAACCTGACAGGGTACAGCCAGAAGAAGGCAGCCATGACCAAGGGCATTTGCAAGGACAGAGCAGAGTAAGATGGCAAGAAGGGCAAAGGGCTTAGACTCATTCTGGTGACAATGGGAAGCCTTTGGAGGATCTCAAGGCAGGAAGTGGCCTGATCTTTTATAAGGCATCTTCTGGCTGCCTGTTGTAAGAAGGTAGCAGAGGGAGATGGTAAAGCAGGTGGGGCTGGGATGTCACTGAGCTAGACATGTAAGAGAGACAGCAAGAAGGAAAGATGCTCCCAGGTTTTAGGTTAGGTTGTTCAGGTGGCTGTCATCCTAGAGAAAGGGGGAGGATGGAGAGAACAAGGAATCAGAGCTTTAGTTGCAGATGTGGAGGCGAGTTAGAGGCATGATTATAGCAGATGTGCTGTTCTAGACAATGCATGGGCATACACCATCCAGCTGGGTCAGGTCAACTAGAGCAGGGGTCAGCAAACCCAGCCTGGCCACTGCTACAAGGGCAGAGTTGAGTAGTTGCAAGGCTGAAACTGTTTACTTATCTGGCCTGTTATAGGAAAAATTTGCCAACTCCTGATCTAGAGTGGGAGGAGGGCCAGGGACCAAGTCCTGGGGGCTCTAACATTCAGAAGTTAGGCAGAGCCTGCCAAGAAGACTGAGAAGAAACGGCCCATTTGGCAATAGAAAACCAGATTTGGTGTCACAGATATCAGGGAGGGCTTTTTCAAAAGGAAATGGCTGACTACTAAATAAGACTAGGAGGGACAGTAACTTTAGGGCTGAGAAGCAGTGGCTGAGTTTGATGACCTGGAAGGAGCTGATTGCCACCACTAACTACAAAGAAGTAGGGGCAGAAAACAGTGGCTTCAACACTTGGGAAGCTTTATTGTGTCACCAAACTTTTGAATCTAGAGGCAGGTTAGGAAGACACTGGTCCTCGAATAGAAGATCAGAAATATGGTGCTAACATGCCGGTAGAATTATAGATTCGTGGGAAGACCAAGTAACTCCTGCTTGATCTTTTTGTCAATGAAAGATAAATTAGGTCACCCATTGAGTACAGTGGGGGAGGACATTATCAAGCATACAAGGAAACTTCCATCTAACACTTGAATGTGGAATAGAAAGCTCATTCTGTGTCCCTAATACACTTCACTGCCTAGAACAAGTTTCTATTTGAAGCTCAAAAGCTTTGGTTCATGCTGATCAATAATATTGATCAGAGACGGTAAGAGCACGCTGCAGTTTGCGTTTTTTCTCCTTTACACCTCATGCTGGAAGCAATCTCCTTGTTATAGATCACGTTTCTGCGGAACATCACATGGACCTTGTCCAACCTGTGCCGAAACAAGAACCCGTACCCTTGCGAGAAGGCGGTGAAGCAAATGCTGCCCGTCCTCTTCTACCTCCTGCAGCACCAAGACAGCGAGATTCTGTCGGACACCTGCTGGGCCCTGTCCTACCTCACCGATGGCAGCAATGAGCGCATCAGCCAAGTAGTCAACACCGGGGTCCTGCCCAGGCTGGTAGAGCTCATGACCAGCTCAGAACTCAGTGTCTTGGTAAATGTCGTCCTGGGTCCTTCAGGTTAGAGTCTGAGTCACGTGCACTTTAGCAAGTTCTGTTCCCCTGACCCCAGATCTTCTGGAACAAAGCTTGTTATCTGCATTTCCCTTGTCTTTGCACTCTCTATCCAAACATTTGAATCTATTTTGATCTGAAATCCTAGTGGGTCTTGTTTTTCTTAATCTGATAACTAAAAAAATACAGAAAAGCAGCAAGTGCAATTGCCTATCATCCCACCATCCAGGGAACTAGTCTTACATCCTTTCCTTCTAGTGGTCTGTGAATGTAGCCTTTGACAAGTTGGCTTACGGGGTGTGTGTGTGTGTGTGTGTGTGTGTGTGTGTGTGTGTGTGTGTGTGTGTGTGTGTGTGTTGGGTATGTGCATAGAGCTCATCACATTCAACTTTCTTACCCAAGTATAAAAGAAAATTTTCTCTTGTCCTCTCCGCAGTTTACTCTCTTAGACTACCTCAGATAGAGGCGAAAAGCGAGGAAAACCATTATCAAACACTTTGCTAGATTATTCTACATGTTTCACCTAATAACACACTGCTTTGAAATGTGGGTATATTATATTGAAGATGCCTCCATTCTGCCTCCCTTGGTTTCTATGCCTAATATTGTATGTTGTGCACCCTTAGTGATCATCATCCTGAGATTAGCAGGGTATTTCACAGACATCAGGGTTGGTTTGAGGCTAGAGCTGGGGGGTTGGAAAGAGTGAAGAGAGTAAGAAAAACAGCGATCCAGGGTTCTGGGCCCAGTGAGGCCTCCTAGAGAGGCTGTGATTGGCCTATAGTTCCACTTCCATTCTCATGTGAGTAGCAGGTAGGTAGCCTAATAGACTAGGAACATTCTAGAACTGTTGATGGGCTTCCCTGGGGCTGCCACTACAGTGCGAAGAAACCCAAATAGACCCAGTCAGCCCTCCTAGGACAGGTGTCATTTTGAGCCCAAAGATAGACCCGTCCTGGGGACCTTGAGTTATTATGAAGGGGTTTGCGACTATACCAAGAAATACGATTGGGATCTCATTAGCTCCAATTAAATATGCACCAGAAACTCGGCACTGGTGCAAAATACAAAGTCAGTAGAAATCATCACATGATAAACGCTAATCAATTTAAACACTAATCAATTTAGCATTTCTTCCCAGTTGAAAGCATACAAAAAGGACAACAGTATATCTTGATAATGGTATCCCTTTGACCTCTAGCTTTCTTGAGCCAGAACTATTGGAAGCTGGCACATTAGCTTTAAACTACATAAAAACAGGGAAGGATGCATTGAATTAACAAGGATCATGGACATAATCGTTCCCAGGCTTGCAGAGAACCATTGGCATGGCGCGTCTAAGGTTGGGGAGGGCACAGAATTTGGTGTGATCGTCACCTTCTCCTGGGATAGATTTGCAACACTTAGACTTCTCACCTTGTTCTTCCAGACCCCCTCTCTCCGCACCGTGGGGAACATCGTCACGGGAACAGATCAGCAGACCCAGATGGCCATCGACGCGGGCATGCTGAAGGTGCTACCCCAGCTCCTGAGGCACGCTAGGCCCGCCATCCAGAAGGAGGCGGCCTGGGCCCTGAGCAACGTGGCCGCGGGGCCGCGCCAGCACATCCAGCAGCTGATTGCTCACGACATCCTACCTCCCTTGGTGGCTCTACTGAAAAATGTAAGTGGCACACTTGGCGTCCGTGACAAAAGGCTATTTTCCAATGGCCCTGGATTGAACTCCTGTAGGAATTCAGACATAGGCTAAGAAGCAAATTAATTGAGATCACAACAGAGCTATGAAACATTAGATTCCTAGCTCTGCCTGAGAAAAGGAAGGGGCATTTCATTCCAAAGAACCCACTATAGATTTGGAAGACTCAACAAGCTGTTCAATGAAAAGGTGACTCCCATGGTTCAAACATCCAGACAACTCTTGAGCTAGTAATATTGGCTCATTTCTAAGCAGTGTTCAAAGAATGTGCCATCTATTTTCTACCTGCCAAAAGAGGGTGGAGGTTTTGTTTTAGGAGGAGAAACACATCAGGCTATGGTGATGTCATAAACTAAAGAAAAGTGGCCTTTTCTGTGTATAAATTGATTAAGCTGGCAACATAAACAGAAAATCCACATATAAAATTAGAAATACAGTAAAGCTTCTGTCGCCTCCTGACTCCCACTCTGCCTCCCCAGAAGTAGTTACTATCATCAGCATTTCCTTTTGCCACCTTTTAATGAATGAGCCTTTTAAACCATCCACAATCAGGAGTGGTTACCTGGGGCTGTGGCCGGGGAGAGGGGTGGAGTAACGTGGGGAGGAGAAGCTGCTGGCGGCGCCTCTGTCCTCAGGTTGGATGGTGGTTCCCACGTGTGCATCAGGTATGAAAAGCCAGGCAAGGGGGAAAGACCAGGTGTGCAGCCCCAAACCACAGCATCTTCTGACCTACTTGGCACTTCCTATTCTGCATTCTACTGTGAGTCTGTGCATATTCTAATAAGACACATCCAGTTATAAATCAAAGAATATTCGTATTTCAAACTGTGCCTTTTGAACTATGACTTGCTGGGAGCCTTAAGTTTTGTTTTTTGGTTTTTACACTGAAGTCATAGTTTTCCCGAGCCATAAAATGGGAATAAGCCCTGCTCAGAGATGAAGGATGCGTGATAAATCAGTGCCATATCTCTGGGCCAAGAGCACTTTATAAACACAACAAATTCATTGTGTGATATTTCAATGTCCTCCTCTTTCCCCTATGGACTGGCTCAGACCCCTAGATCACATCTGTGTGCCAGCCTTATAGCTTCTCGTCCAGAGTTTTAGTGGGTCAGAAAGATTAGAAATGTAGGCATGGGCCATTCATTGTCATCTAAAACTCCAAGCCTAATTCCTAGTCTATGCAGATTACCTGGACTGGTTTATGTTCTATTTTTCCCCCATAGCCCGACATAGGGAAATGAGTCTATTTGATCTTATAACCTCCAAGACCCCATTTGAGTCTGCCTGCCAGCTTTTTAGCTTCTCAAAGATGCTGTCTTCTTATCAAGCACTAGAGGCAGGTCGTTAAGGCATTCTATGTAAATTGCACGCACGGTCCTGGCTGTCACCAGCCTCCCTACAGAGTGAACCAAGTTGGCATCTCTATAGTTAGGTTTTTCAGGATCTGTAGAGAATGTAAATGTTCTTGTCATGCAGGGAGAATTTAAAGTCCAGAAAGAGGCTGTCTGGACGGTTGCTAACTTCACAACTGGGGCCAACTTGGATCAGCTGATCCAGCTTGTCCACTCTGGAGTCTTGGAGCCACTGGTGAATCTGCTCACTGTCCCAGATGTTAAAATCGTTCTCATCATCCTCGACGTCTTCGCTTACATTCTCCAGGTGAGCTCTTCTGAACAGGTCAGTTTGTAAACAGCAGTGTCCAATGTGATGAGGACATTTAATTTGGTTCTTAAAACCCAAGTTGGATTCTCTTTCCTTCCCATTCTCCCCACCCTCCCCTGCCCATGCTTCCTGAGGATAAACACACAAAGCAGCATCTCAAAGAAGGACCATCGCTTTCATTTTCTCAAATGAATGTCTTTGTGCCAGGCACTTTTGGGGATGTTCACAAGATGACAGTGCAAAGTCCTTGCCCTAATGGAGCTTTATACAGGGAGGGAAGAGAGGGCACACACACCAGGTAGAGAGTTATGGATAAAGTCAATCAGATAAAGGCAGAGTCACTAATAGATCCAGGGGTGGGGTGTAGCTGTCTTATATATGCATTAGCCTGGAGAAGCTTCTCCAAAGAGGAACATTTAAGCAAAGATCTGAAAGGAGTCTTGTGGATCTCTGGGGAGGATCATTCTAGGCAAAAAGAACAGGGTGGGTGTGGTGGCTCCTGCCTGTAATCCCAGCACTCTGGGAGGCCAAGGTAGGAAGATTGCTTGAGGCCAGGAGTTCAAGACCAGCCTGAGCAAAATCAAGATTCTGTCTCTACAAAAAAATAGAACAAATTAGCTGGATGTGGTGGTACCTGCCTACAGTCCCAGCTACTCGGGAGGCTGAAGCAGGAGGATCACTTGAGCCCAGGAGTTTTAGGTTGCATTGAGCTATGATAATGGCACTGCAGGGTGACAGAGTGAGACCTTGTCTCAAAACAAAACAAACAAAAAATAGCAAGGAAGTGTAAGTATGGCCAGAACAGAGAAGAGGGATAGAAAATGCTGAGAGATGGAGCTTAAGGCAGGCAGGGACTGGATCACAGAATCTGTGAGAACTTTGACTTATTCTAGTGAGGCAGAGAAACCAATAGGTTTGAAGCAGGAAGAAAAAGCCAGGAGTCACGTGGTTTAGGCCAAAACACAGGATATTCTTCGAACAACGAGAGGTTAACAGGGATAGGTCTTGAGGGGCTGCTCTGAAGCTGTTTTGTTCAGCTGTATGGCTGGGGAAATGGACTACAAAGCGTTTTACTAGAATTCTAGAAAAGTCTTAGTTTTGAAATCAAAGTGAAACCAATATTTACGTACTGCTTATATGCCATATTGCTGTGTGACAGATGATCCCTTAGAGGCTTAAAACAAATATTTAGTATCACACGTCATTTCTGGGGTTAGGAATCTGGGTCTGGCTTAGCTGGATGCTTCTGACTTTAGGGTTAGATAAGGTGTGGTCAAGGTGTCACCGAGGACCGCCATCATCTGCCAGCTCAATGGGAGCTGAAGGATCAGCTTCCAAGGTGGCTTCCTCGATGGCTGGTAAGTCCCTCTTGCCACGAGGACCTCTCTGTGGGGCTGCTTGCGTGTCTTCACGTCACGACAGCTGGCTTCCTATGCGCCAAGTCACCTAAAAGCAAGGTGAAGGCCACAATGTCATTTATGACCTGATCTTGGAGGTCACACTCTGTCATTTCAGCAACATCCTGTTGGTTACACAGACTGGCCCTACGAGATATGAGGGGGAGCCACACAAGGGCAGTCAGTGACCACCAGGGCCAGCGTGGAGGCTGGCTATGTTCATTTGGTTAAAGTGTTTTCATAGGCAACTGTTTATAAAACTTCAAAGGAACACCAGGGAGCTCCTTTTCAAAGCCTACCTTAAATAATCCTTTTCACAGAACTGTCTTGGAAAGGACTGGCCTGAGTTGAGACCAGATTTGAAACCCAGCCCAATTACACCCTGAGACTTTGAGCAAATTGCCCAGAGAAAGAGCAGAGATTCTGCAGCTAATAGACAAAGTTGGACGTGACGAGTTTGTGAAGGCACACTTATGGGCTACAGAAATATGGCTTCATCTGCCTCTTTTGAATTCAACACTTGGGGTGTTGTCTTCAGAAAGACTGGCCAGATCCCATGAATGCCTGAAGCCCCTATATCCATAAAGGGCCACGGGACAGCCAGTTATCAATCGGGGTCAAGGTGGGGTAGCTGGAAGCCTCAGGTGGGCAGCAGAGTGCCACTGAGGTCCTGTGAACTAACTTTTGGGCTGTTTGCTGTCCCGTCAAGGTCCAAAATCCTTCTCCAGGGTGCTGGCTGCCCTGGGTTGCCCCCTACTGCCCAGTTTTCTTTCTGAGGCTGACTTAGGACTTTGGTTCCTGCCTCGGTTGCTGTGCTCCAAGCCAGTAACTCATTTTGGACTCACAAATAGGACTAGAGGGTTTCAAGGCTTAGATACACAGTTCCAACTCTCACCAGCTAAACCATGTGGCTCAAGTCATATTTAATTTGATCTATAGGATGTTTTTTAAAATCACTGTTCACAAAATAACAGAGCTCTTCAGGATACGACGTCAAGTATAATACTGTCTTTCTCTCTCCACTTCCCCCAAATATGCTGTTTAGCTGAACTACTTCCTCTTTGAGTGATAGGCAACATTTGTATTCCTTCAAACCTTTGTCCTTGTTCCTTCTTTTGGGAATGCTATTATCCTATCCTGGCAAAGTACTATTCATTAAGAATCTGTGATACCTTCCAAGCCTTCCGTATCTATCTTCTATAATTTAAAACTGAGCATTCACAATATTGCATTTTTAATACTATAACAATTACTTACTTGTCAGAGTTATGAAGAGACCTTCTCCAAATCTCATCTGTATCTCTGGTTCTGTGTGCCTTGCCCATAGCATTTGCACAAACATTTGAGTAAATGAATAGTCCTGGATGCCTAAACCAATGACTGGTGTTGAATTAAATCCACTGGTGGTATTTGTTCCCAGGGACTTCATTGTTTGCCACAGTGTGGCTTCTGAGACTGAAAGTCTCTTGTCTTATCACTTAAGGCTTTCCAGGTAGTGCAGGACCAGAACATTTGCATTTGCATGGCATTACTTGAACATTCTTTCAAATTATATTTAAAACAATTTCTGTTAATTAGAGAGGGCTATCTCCTAAATAATGATAGTGATATATTTGCAGGTGGTACTATGTTTAGCAAAATAATCCATCCCTTATAAGCTGATAGTCTAGAAGTATTATATTTTATACAATATATATAAAAATGAAATTTTATAATATAATATAAAAATTTATAAATATAAAATACAGTTATATTTTATATGAACATATTTATATATGATTTATATATGTATATATATATGCATCTATGTCATAAATCTCAGAAATGGGAGGACGACCACATAGTTTTCAATCAATTTGGGAAAAGTGAAACTGCAGCTGCCCCTGCTGGAATGGTATGAGGGAAGCTCCCTGGAGGGCTGGCGGAGGTTCTACCTCCTAAGGGCTCCCGTCAGGGGTCTCATGTTCTCTTGAACTTGCTCACAGGCAGCAGAGAAACTATCTGAGAAGGAAAACCTGTGTCTTCTGATAGAAGAACTCGGTGGGATTGATAGAATTGAGGCTTTACAACTTCACGAGAACCATCAGATTGGCCAGACTGCCCTAAATATCATCGAGAAACACTTTGGCGAGGTAAGTGACTTCAGAGCGTGAAGGAGTGCCTGTGTGTCCTAGTGGGCCGCCTCAGTGGATGGTCACCTTTCGGGGCCTATCTAAGAGTTGGATGTGCCTCTGTCCTGTGGCGACCTCTGAACTTAGCTCCGAGGGGCTCCCATGTCTGTGCTGTATGGGCCGCCTGTGAACATCAGTTTCTGGGCACCTGAGAGCTGTTCTAGCCCCATGGGAGCTTGTCCTGCTGCCTCTGGCTTAAAACTCCACTTTACTGGCCTCCTTTTTTGGAAGGGTTTTGGGGAGGAAGAGGGTATGACACTAAAGTGACTTCCTGCCCAAGAACGCAAATGGTAAAGACAGCAGGCCTTTCTTTTATAAAAACCATTTTGCTACTTACTGAATTTTGTCTCTTTCCAGAATATAGTGTTTAGGGATGAACTGTACAAAAAACTTCTCTAAGATTTCTGCAGGAGCAGGAAATAATGATCAAATAGCATTAGACTTTTTTTTTTTTTTTTGAGACGGGTCTCACTCTGTTGCTCAGGCTAGAGTACAGTAATGTGATCGTTGCTCACTGCAGCCTTGAACTCCTGGACTCAAGTGATCCTTCTGCCTCAGCCTCCCAAGTAGCTGGGACTACAGGCCCACATCACCACACTTGGATAATTTTTCTTTCTTTTTTTAGAGATGGGATCTTACTATGTTGCCCAGGCTGGTCTGGAACTCCTGGCCTTAAAGTGATCCTCCAGCCTTGGCCTCCCAGAGTGCTAGGATTGCAGGCATGAGCCACCACTCCTGGCCCATATTAGGCATTTTTAAAAATTTTTTTTTGTGGTAAAATATATATAATATACAATTTACCACTTTAGCTATTTCAGTATAAATAGTCCAGTGGTGTTAAGTATGTTGACATTGCTGTGTAATCGTCATTGTCATCCATCTCCAGAACATTTTCACCCTCCCAAATGAAACACCACACTAACTCCATACTAACTCCCCATCACCCCTTCCCTCCAGCCCTTGTAACCACCATTCTACCTTCTGTCTCTGTGACTTTAACTACTCTAGGAACCTCATAAGTGAAATCATACAGTATTTGTCCTTTTGTGATCAACATATATCCACTTGGCTTGTCTTCAAGGTTCATCATGTTAATAGCATGTGTCAGAACTTCATTCCTTTTTAAGACTGAATAATATTCCATTGAATACATAGACCACATTTTGTTTATCCATTCATCCAGCCATAGACACCTGGGTTGCTTCTACCATTTGGCTATTGTGAATAATGTTGTAATGAACATGTGTGTGCAGATGTTTGTTACAGTCCCTGCTTCCAATCCTTTTGAGTTTATACCCAGAAGTAGAATTGATGAATCATATGGTAATTCTCTTTTTAATTTTTGAAGAACCCCGCTATACTGTTTTGCATAGCGGATGCACCATTTTGCATTCCCACCAACAATGTATGAGGGTTCCAGTTTCTTCACAGTCTTGCCAACACTGTTTTTCAGTTTTTTCGATAATAGCCATCTTCATGGGTATGAAGTGGTATCTCATTGAGGCTTTAATTTGCATTTGCATTACACTTTTCATATGAGGAAGGAGAAGATCAGTTATTAAATGGCCAGCTAAATATGGGATTAGGAGTCTGTAGAGTGAGTGACACTTCTGTTAGATGTCAAACTTGAATTATCAGTAAAATCCACGACTATGTGGTCAATATGACCAGCTTGGTGGTTGTGGCTAACTGGAGGCAGCTAATCTTGATTTTGGAACAAGAAAATGTTCTCCAAAGCAGAAAAGATACAGAACAGTGAGTATTTTCTGGGTTTAACGGTTCTTTGAAAACCTCATAAATAGGAGACTCATCCCTTAAAGGGAGTTAGATCCCTGGGTCTTATCCAAGAGCTCCAGGTTAAAGACTTCTGATCTAGAAGTAACAGCTATACCCATTATATCCATACTCATTGTAAGGATTATGCTGCTCTATGTATATCAAAGCTGCATTTAAAAATAAGGCAGTCACAAAAGGACAAATATTGTATGATTCCACTAACATGTGGTACCCAGAATAGCTGAACTCAGAGAGAAAAAGTAGAATGGTGGTTTCCAGACTCTGGGTAGAGGGGAATGGGGAGCTATTGTTTAATAGGTATAGTTTCAGTTTTGCAAGATGAAAAAGTTCTAGAGTCGGGCAGTGATGATTATTGCACAACACTGTACTTAATGTACTTAAATGCCACTGAAATGTCTGCTGAAATGTGGTTAAGATGGTAGATTTTGTTACGTATATTTTACATAACATTCAAGGTCCATTCTGAGAAGTACTTCAATGCTCCTTTCAATCTCCTCTGAGGGAGCCTCAAGGCTGACTTAAAGCAAATTCTAATCCATAGAAGATGTTAGAGTCGGATGTGCAGTAATAACACACACTGAGAGCCTGGAAGTATAACAATCTATTCTCCCCCAAAGGAAGAAGATGAGGGCATAATTTTACTGGACCAACTGCTGGACCAAGATAATGAATTTATAAACGCATCACAAAAAACTAGCAAAGCTCCACGACTTCTACACCAACCACCAAACACTCAAGGATAACTTATTGAGCACTCCTATATCTTAGTGTGTCACAAATGTAAAGCTTTTAAAACTTAATAAAATGTTCAACACTTCCACCTTTCTCTATCTAAAATTCAGTTAAACCACTTGCATCTCAAAACCATGTGGAAATTCATCTCTTAGGAACATTTGACTTAGTGATTACCTTGGAATATCATAAAGTAATAACTTCAAAACAGAGTAGAGGGGTCTGTAGCCATCTGGACAAATTTTGACTCGTAGATACAGTATCACTGGTTCTCGGTACTACAGGGACAGTGTGATGGCTTGGCTTTCTTTCCTCTGGCAATTAGTATTGTGACACAATGACAATGATCTAAGATGATTTTCCTAGAAACTCAAAATCTCTCTTCCTTCCTGGATAGTTCAAGTGTGATATATATATATATATGTATATTAAATTTAAGCAACCATCTATAGTTTATGGCAGTGGTTCTCAAGCTTGGGTGTGCACCTGAATTCCTGGAGGGCTTGTTGGACCCCACTGCCAGAAGTGCTGATTCAGCAGGTTTAGAGTAAAGCCTGATAACTTACATTTCTAAGGAGTTCTCAGGTGACACTGTTGCTGCTGATCCAGGGACCACACTTTGAAAGCTACTAGTCTAGGGAGTGGTCAGAAAACTATGCCCTGTGGGCCAAATTTGCCTATTTTATAAATAAAGTTTTATTGGAACACAGCCATGACAATTTGTTCGCATAGTTCTAGATCATAGCATTTCATGCTACAGTAACAGAACTGAGTCGACGGAGACCATATGGCCTTTGAGGCTGCTGAAAATATTTACTCTCTGGTTATTTACAATAAATGTTTGCTAGCCCCTGGTATCTGGAAGTAATGCATCAATGTACCTTCCTTCCCTGCTGGTTACTTAGGTATTTCACTTTTTAGAAAGAGTTTTATCATTTGCACACAAAATGTAGGTAGTTAAAGAGCTAAACTACGTGTTCAGATGTGATCATGAAGGATCCTATGGTTTGTGGCTTAATCTGTGCCCTGAGTTCTCTCCAGTTGTCTGTGATAGAGGCAGGAGTGCAGACGAGATCACAAAAGACAATCAAAAGCTCACCTCTGCTACTTTAAGCAGGCCAGAGAATGGGGAAGGACTTTTGAAATACTCAAAGTAAGATGTGCCACCTAACTAATAAAGCAGTGGCAAGATAGTTGGAAATCTGGCCTTGCCTCTGAAGGGGAAGGACTGTTAAATGAACAGTACATAAGCACTTAACCTCTCATTCCTAGTTTTGCATCAGAGCAATGCTCGTTCCCACTTAGTATCTCCGGAAGTTATTTCCCCTAGCAAAGTTAGTTCATCTACTGCTATCCCCATCCCATCCCTATACCTGGTTTAACAGGTATACCATGTTTGGATTTCTTATTGGTTATCTTTGTATATTTAAACAATATACTTGTCTCCCTACATTTCTTGCTCTATCAACTTTAGTTAGTATTTTACTTCATCTTGGTGGCAGATCAATTGTAAAAATGGCCCTAGTTCTCTATCCCTCCTCATATCCACAGTCTGCACACTGTGACTTTATAGCTCCCTCACGCCCCCAGCCCATCAAGAGGTGAAATCTGTTTCCCTACCCCTTCAAGCTGATCTTGGCTATGAACTTGCTTTGGCCAGTAGAATGTGGCTAAAGGATTAGTTCTAAGCCTAAGCCTCAAAGGTCTCACGGGCTGCTGCTCTCTGAGCTCTGCCACCGCCATTGCAGAGGCTGAAGCTCATGCTGGAGCATGAGGCACCATCCTAGACCAGCCAACAGCCAGCCAGCCCCCAAACAAGTATGAGTCCCACCAGCATCAGCAGAGCTGCCTCTGATACGCAGAGGCATGAAGGAGCCCAAATGAGGTGACAGTGATCTAGTTGACTCATGTACTTGTGAGCAATAATAAAGACTGACTTTAAGCCACTGGGTTTTATTATTATTCAATAGTGATTAATAATTAACTATTCAGCATCCTACCTCTCTACTTTTCTTCATCCCTGCTTCTCTCAGATGCTATTTTACTTGACTTTCATATTGTCACAGATAACTTAAAATCTGCTGTAGACCTCAACAAGGCTCTGGGCTCTTCAATATATTCAAATTGGAAAAAACTCCCCCAAACCCAGCATTTACGTAGTTACAATGGAACTGTCTGGTGCTAGATCTAGTAGTGCCTCTAGGATTAAACTTTCTCCTGTCTGAGTCCAGTGGTATGACTTTGGGTTGGCTTGAAAGAAAATGTTCCCAGTTTCAAAGTTAAAGGTCCCCCAGTGGCTTAAATCATGTAACTTTTTAAACGTTTTATGTTTAGACCATGACATTCTTATACAACTTTGTTTTCGTAATTTAAGTGAACTTTGATACAACTTACATAATACCATACAGAGCTATAGACTTCAAAGGAGAGGAAGAGCACAGCTGCCTCTTCCCACCTCCAGTCCACGTTGTTTGTCCCTAGAGGCCAGAACTTTCTATTTAGATCAATTTCTTCTAGTATTCACTTTCATAATTCTAAACATGCTTATGATGCATTTAAAGATTTTCAAATCTATAGGAGAGATATGTTTTTATACCACCTCCCTGTCTTCCTGTCATAGATATCCAATTTTTGTTAGCTTGATGTCAGGTTTTTTATCACGATTATGTAAATTCTATGCAGAATTGTGTTTTCCTTAGAATTAATACACATCTTTACTCATACGCTTTGTTTTCCTGGGACTTATCTTATGCCAAACTCTCGGCTACAAGTATAAACCTAATCCTGAATGTGTGCAGCACATCAGTAATCTATCAATGTCCTTGTCATCTACATGCACCGGAGAGCTCTCTTCCTGCTCCAGCCTACAGTAGCTGCCCATACCTCCAGCACACTGTCATCCTGGGGGCTCCTGGGTTGACTTCCCTGTTTCTTGGATCTCAGGTCTACCTTGACTTGTCGTCTTTTAGCAGTGAGCATTCTCAAGTAGCTTCTGAGACAGGGTTCATGGGAGGTTAAGTCTCAGACATTGCTCATCTGAAAACATGAATTTTATTTACTTTGACTCTTGTTTGATAATCTGGCTGGATATAGGTTCTAGATTGGAAACTCAGGGCTTCAGAATTTCACAGGCATAGCTCAATATCTTCTAGTTTTCAGTGTTGGGCTCAAAGTCTTCTACTCTGATCAATGATTATTTGTGTACAACTCCCCTCCCCACGCCCAGCACCACTGGCTGGTTTGTTGAGTTTGCTTTCAGCATGCTCAAATGTGCTGCAGCGACTATGTAGAAACCTATTTTCTATATATCCAAGTATATATAGAATTACATCCTGGCCAGGCGCAGTGGCTCATGTCTGTAATCCCAGCACTTTGGGAGGCCAAGGCGGGAGAATTGCTTCAGGTTAGGAGTTCGAGACTAGCCTGGGCAGCATAGTGAGACCCTGTCTCTATAACAAATGACAAAAATTAGCCAGATGTGATGGTGCTTGCCTGTAGTCCCAGCTACTTGGGAGGCTGAGGCAGGAGGATCACTTAAGCCCCGGAGTTTGAGGTTACAGTGAGCTATGATGACGCTGCTACACTCTAGCCAGGGTGACAGAGCAAGACCCTGTCTTAAAAAAATTACATCCTGCAATACTTTTTAAAAATAGAAAGAAAGAATTATTTCTCCACCTACTCCACCATTTTCTTTTCTGGAACTTCCATTCAGTTCTTGGCCTTCCTCAAACTGATTCTCAATTTTCTTGTCCCTTTCTCTCCTATTTTCCTTCTTTGTCTTTTACTTTCTGGGGTATTTATTCCACTTTACCTTATCTCTTCTTCCAGGCTTTTCATTCCTGCAGGCACTCAACTGGAGAAATTTTGTTTATATAGATTTCCCTTTTAAAGCCACCTCTATCATTAATGCAAAATCCCATCTCTGGAGCTACAGACACTAGCTTTGTTTGTGCATTGACTCTTTGAAAGGAGATCTCTGTTTTTAGTTTGGTATGACCATGGCAAAGGGTTCCTTCTAATGTCTATTGTCCTTGGCTCTCTGCTCCTGTTAGAAAGGTTCTCAGGCCAATTGGAGCTGTGAGTGGGACTTGTCATTGGTGACTGGTTATTGGTGGACTTGTAATTGGTGGACTTGCTCTTGCTCAGGCTGGTCTCCTGGCCTCAAGTGATCCTCCTACCTTAGCCTCCCAGGATGCTAGGATTATAGGCATGAACCACTGTTCCTGGCAACATTTAGAATTTTTATAATGTGAAAAATGTATAATACAAATTATATACATATAATAGTATATGTACATAAGATATGTATAATATATAAAATATTTATTAAAAATAAAATTAAGAATAGAAAAAAATGATGCTACTACTCCAATACACCAATTTGTATGTTTGCATTTCCCTTCTAATTTGAGTCTACATTTCGTTTCTAAAATCTGATTAGAATCAGATTGTTTTTCAACATTTTAAAGCATCCCTTTTTCCCTTATCAGTAGACTGAAGTTGAAGTTGAGGCAGAAGGTGAGATGGTTTACAAAACTATGATTTTGAGAAAAAAATATTTTTAACTAAGAAAGTTGGAAACCCTGTGGAGCTTAGTCACTGTTGCCCAAGTGGTCTAATCTTGTCGGCTCACCATACACGGAGGCTCTTTTTCTCTTCTTTCAGCCAACCATTCACTACCATAATTGCATAACAAACAAGCCTTTGTCAGTTTGAAGATACTGATACTAACTTGTCTAGCAAGGTTTTTAAAAAAGAAGCAATTTGCCTTTTGTACATGGCCTGGGTGCAAAGAGAGGGTGTTAGTCACCTTCTGGCTGGGTGCCATGTGCTTGGACTTGGCGTATTGGACTGACTGGCACAGGCAACAAAGAGAGGAAGGAAGGAGTGAATGGCTGTGGGTTGGCGTACAGTGTCAATGCTGAACTTGAAGAACTCTGACCTTGCATTTGCCCAAAATCTTTCATGTACCAGAGAGGAACGCAATTTTCTTGGGTAACCATGCACAATACATAATTTACCTGCTGACT